TAATATATTTAGTATATATACTACTTATAAATAAATACTCCCCTATAATCAAGTTATCTAAAATTGTTGCCTACCTACTCTCTGTTCTAGAACATTGATAATGGTGAGACAAGAAATTGGCATGTTTTATTGCTCACTGGAATAAACTATGCTTTGTTCTAGGAGGGCATGAACCAGACACCATTTTTGCAAGACTGGCTAAATAAATTCTTCTGCCATTATAAAAGGAAAAGACATTCAAAATCTTCATTTTGGCTTGACTCTGCAACTAAGATGAGCAATTTAAACCAATTCAACATCTGGCCTAGATGAGTAATTTAAGCCAATTCGACATCTGGCAAAGAATCCATCCAGTATCAGTAATCAAAGAGTCATATTAAACCTAGGCACAAAGTTTGCTCTTGGCCAAAACCTGCTCATGTGACGGGAACAAGAAGGACAGAGATTTCCAGGCATCTAGGAGTAGCTCAGGGAGTACACAAACTTTTGCTCCTAGTGGACTGAGCCAGCTATACCTACTGTATGACAGGTTACTATATCTCTCAGTTGTAATATTCACCCCTCTCAGAGGGAATGCCATTCATTCATTCATTCACTTATTCACTAAATATGCATGTGGTAAGAGTCTTCCATTTGCAAAGAACTATGCAGGCTGCTAGGATATGAAGATGAAACAACAAGGTGCTAAAAGAGTTTAAAAGAGTTTACAAATCAGTAGATGAGACAGTGTTGTACACACAAACCTGCAAGTGCGAGACACAGTGGGAACAAAGGGAAAAGAGTGCTTAAGTCAGCTTGGGGAGTCAGGGGAGGACTCCCAGAGGATATGGCGCAGGATTGAAGACTTGATGGATAGTCAGGAGTTCGTCTGACAGATAAGAGCAACTGAGAGGAGAGGGGCCTGAGACAGAAATCAACTTGTTATTGCCTTTCAGGATAGTTGGGGTGCCGGAGCCAAGAACAGACCTGGAACAAAGTTAATGTTTTTTTTACAAGCTAGAAAAATATCAGCAGCAGGAGCCCTGGTCATAACCACCCCCACAAAGTGCAAACAAAGCTACTCCTATCTTCTGGCTGTCTGCTGGAGAACTTACTAACCAGTACCTTAAGAACAAAATGTTCTTTTATCATTGATTTTTATTCCCACAAAGTCCTTCCTCCTCTTTTCCAGAACTTGAAGAAGCATGCGTGGAGCTGTACTTGTGTCTTTGATCTTTATCCTCCCTTCTCAGGCTTTCCTGGGGCTGGGAGGCCAGAGGTATTTCTCCAAAGCAGAGTGTGGACCCCTCTTGCGGGTCAGAATGTGGGGTCCGAGGCAAGTCAGGCCAGGTCAGCACCTGAAGTGACCACAGTCATCAGGGTTTGTTTGCGATACATCTGGCTAGCATCCAATTCTGACTCTAAAGCTGGGTTCTCCCTTGACATTCAGGGATCTCTCAGCACAGAATTCTTGAGGCTGTTTCTGACCTCAACCCATATGGAATCTTAAAGGCCTGAGTCCTGCATTCTGTTACAGAGAGCTGGAGGAGGAAAGTTAGGGCAGATTCAGTGAAGGCAGAGGGGGTCCAGAAGCCTCGGTTCTTCTCCAACTGCCTATTCAACAAGAAGACAGTTCTCCTGACGGACACTGCCTACCAGGGTAGTAACTCTCAGAGCTTCCATTTATGGAGCTCCTACTTCATGCCAGGCATTGTGGTTCCAGAACAAGAAAACCAAAGAGAGATGCCTCCTATGTGCCAGATACTCTACCAGTTGCTTTAACTATTTACATCATTAGTTTTCCTAAGAGTCCTGGGAGCAGGCACTGCTGTCTCTTCTGCAGAAGAGGAAACGAGAGTGCTGTGAGGCCCCATATTTGTAGGAGAATAGGAATTTAAATCCACTCTTCAGACTCTGTGTTGAGTGCCCTTATCACAGCATCACAGTATGTCTCAGGGCATTAGCTGTCCCAAATCAATACTATCAAGCTAGAATCATGCCAGGCCAGTGGAGAACAATGAGAATTTTCTCTCCAAAAGGAGTGGGACTTTGTCTGATTTATTCACTGATGATAATCCCCAGTGCCTAGACCAATACCTGACGAGGGCACGAACTTGATGTATGTCTTTAGAGAATGTGCTTGGACCAGTGGGTAACCTTTTCACGACTTTCAGACTTCTGTTCTCCTCCACATCTTGATAGGGGCATAGGCAGGTTGGGAAATGAGCAAGAACGTTTGCTCCCAGGCCTCCTCTCTTTCCTACACATCCTAATCCTGAATTGGCTGCAAGGTGAAGGGGAAAGAAGGAGGCATAAGAAGGCATATAATAAGGATAAAACTTCGCCAACCCCTTTATTAAGTAGGTCTTTACTGTCCCAAAGTCACTGAGAACCCTCTTCCTGTGCTCTTCTAATGCGATGGGGGCACATAATTGATCTCATGAATTAGCAACCATAGTTTAAAACAAAACATTGTTAGAATGAAAGGCTAGGAAAAAATACATGGTTATAGCTAAAGTGAGAGATACTGAGAATCAAAATGCACTTTGTTGAAAGAAGAACAATTTAGAGAATTTCTCAATATATCTGAATGTTCCAAGGAAGGCTCTGTAGAGAAGCAAGCATCTGATACAGTTCTTCAGGTCAGAGGAGAAGCTAGCCCTTCCTGTGCCCTTCCTGGCCACTACTGGCACCTAAGCTCAGGCCTTAAGGAATCCAAGGTCCTTATTCTATCTTTCCACTTAAAAAACTTACTTTTGGAAAATATGGGAAAATGCACTCTCTTGGGAGCATGTGAATTTTAAAACGAAAAAAGGTCTAAGCCAAAGCTTCTAAGAGTAAAATTTTTGTCACTGAGCATCTCCTTTTAGGAAAAAGGTGGGGATCATCTGTCAGTCTCCCCTCCTGTAGGGTACAGCCAGTATTGGTCAGAAGTGAGAAGGTGTGTTTTGGCACATCTCTTAGGGAACTTTAGGAAACTCCAGTGCCTATGGCTTCCCAAGGGGCAGCTCTCTTTCTTTCAGCATGTGGTGGTCCCAGCCAAGTGCATGCCACCTGGGAGGGGGTGGATGATTGAGACTGTCATCCCAGGGATAATTGAAAAAGCACGATGGGGAAAGTTTCCATGGCCTCACATGTGATCTGGAACATCAGGATTGCTAGGGAATAAGAATACTTCATGTCTGTCTAAACCTCAAGCTCTCTCTGCACTTGTACTTAAAAACCAAAATTATTGCATTCTAATCAAAAGCACAAATGGCTCACAATGAAAGGTGCTTAGAGAAAAACACCCTTTCCTGTAATCAGAACTACATTACATACCATTCAACCGACCTACAAATATTATCAGTTGTTTACTAATTCTCAGGCACTGTGTTACATCCTGTGGACATAAAGACGAACAGGACTGACATGTTCATCACGGATTGCTGAGAGCTGTCCTGTTTCTGCAAGTCGATGTACTATGCAGAAGACACTGCTTAATATTCTGGTGAATAAGGAAACAAATTAACCTTCGCTCTACAGGTTAAGGCCACTTCACCTTATTCTTGCCTTAAAGCAACTTTATTTATTATTAAATGAATAAACTTACTGAGCACCTATAAGAACCAGACACAGGGCTTGGCATGAGGGATATGAGATGAGTAATACAATGTCCCTGCCCTCAGGGAGTTCACAGTCTAGTGGAAAAGACAAACAGACAAATCAGAAATCACAACACAATGTGATAATTTCTCCAAATAGTTTGCTGAAAGAAGAACAATTTAGAGAATGTCTGAATATGTCTGAGTGTCCCATGGAAGGCTATGCAGAGGAGAAATCATCTGATATGGAATCCTCAGGTTAGAGGAAAAGCTGGCCAGCTGGAGAAGTAGAGGACTAATCATTCTGGGCAGAGACATATCTGCCAAGCCGTGGAGGCGTAAACACATGGACACGGTGCTGGAGGAATGAGTGATAGAAGTATCTGAAAGATAACTCCTGGCTGTAGCATGAAGTAGGAACCAGAATATCCTTCTAAGGTTTTTGATCATGATGCACAGTTAAAAAATTCATCGTCAGCAAGGCGCAGTATACACATGTACATGCACATAAAATGGGAACACAGCTGCACAGAGCAGTGCTTACCCTTACGACATGAGATGCATTCTGATCTTTTCTACCAGGTTCTATTCTATTCCATTCCATTCTACTCTGAAAATTCAACGGTCATGTCCTGCTAAATTGACCACTTGAATTATGAACCACAGTTTAAAGCAAAGCATTGTTAGAATGAAAGGCTAGGAAAAAAAAAAAACAAAACATGGCTATAGTTGAAGTGAGATACTGAGAATCAAAACAACTACCAAAAACCCCCCATAAAACTAAAAACTGCAATAAGGATGGAGAAGAGGATATTTACCAAACTTTATTGTAATTCTTTGTTTCATTATGTGAAACACTTTCCCACTAAGATTTGGGGAAAAGACTTTGGTTTTCTTTTGTTTTGTTTGAAATTCGCTGCCCCCTAGCACCATGCCTGGACATGGTAAGTGCTCAAAGGGTATTTGATGAATAAATATACACGAATGACAGGTTCGAGAGTTATGCAGATGAAATCAAGACCACAATCAAAGAAGTGGATATAGGACATAGCCAAATATATTATGAAAACAAATCCATTAAACTTACAAGAGTTTTGGAATACCATTAGGAAAAAAGTATAGGTAAGTACACCAGTTAGAAATTAATGTATCTTTTTCAAATTTTCTATAAAACACAGAATCATCCAGATATTTATTCAAATAATTTTTTTCTATTATTACATAGAGAGAAATCAATAAAACTATAAACAAATTCTATATTTGATGAAAAGTTCTATAATTCTATCCAAATGCCTAACTGTAAAAGGCTTTTCATTATTATATCTTGAAACACCAGTCCTTGACCTTTGCTTTGAAAACAGGAAAGGGGTGTGTTAGGTTCTGGGGACCCCTCCATTTGAACACAATGTGGGCCATAGGCATGGAGTGAGAAATTACCTAGTCCTCCTGCATGGGCATCAATGAGTGAGGCTGCCACCGCAGTCCCTGTGGGAAGGCCAAGGTCTTTTGCTGCCTCTGGTGTGAGCCCATTTCCGAGAGAAGCTCCAGGAGGCAGCACTTGGTTTCCTGGATAAACAGGAGAAAAAACAAACACCCATCAGTTTGAAAAACACAAAAGCAAACAGAGGGTTTTCTTAAGAGAACCTCTTTGCTCCCTCCTCCCTCCTCTGCATTTTCTCAACTTGGCAAAGATAAAAAGCATGCAGCCATGAAGAGTCCCTTTGTTCATTTGGCAACTTAGGTGTACGTGCTTGGTACCTATGGGTCATTCTCTGGGTTGCTTTACAAAGTCAGGAGCTCTGAGGCATCATTCAAACCAGAGAAAGATTCTCTTAATGGGAAATTCTAAAAAGAATATAAACACAGTAGCCTCTTGAAGACCAGGTTAAGATGCCTGAACTATTCCAAATGGGCTTCCCAACACAGCAGCTCTACCAGCACAGTTTACACACAAACACACACACACACGCACATGTTCACACATCCACACATACTTCCCGATGTGTGCATATTCCTAAGGATGTCAAGAAAACTTACTCCTATAGTTGCTATCAGAAGATAAGGAGGTGAAGTATTTTGTACCAATAAAGAATTTGTTAAAAGTTTTCCTCAGCTAGAAAAGACAGTGCAGGCTAAACCTTGCAAACTTTACAAGGTTACTACTTGCACAACCATAGAACACAATTTAAATGATGTTCTTTGGAGTTGTGCAATGCAGTGACCCTGATATTTCAAGTGACCTTGAATTTTTGCAATCAGTCGGGCCTTCGGTTAAGAATTGACTGACTTGCTTTGTGTGGGCGCTGTGGGGCTGTAAAAGGCAGTCCTTGCCCCCAACTTCGTTAGGAAGATGAGATAAGGGCACAGAGAACCACGTAAGTCAGAATAGAATGAAATGACCCATCTGCTGCCAGATGTTTAAGAGTCTGAACCCTCTCCCACCCCCCAAGGAATTCTAATAAGTATTTCTGCACTGTAGGGAGGAGATAGGGGTTCAGCTATGTATATGCTAAGATCCCTTTGGGCCCCAAGATTCTAGGACTCTGAATGCATGGTAAGCAATTTGCTCAGTGCTAAAACACCACTTGTTAATTGTTCCCTGAGCTCCAGGGCTGGGCAGAGGTGTTCCAGGACCTCTGTGGGTAGAGGTGAGGTTGGAGGTTGAGAGAGGGCAGTCAGAGAGTGAACAGCTCAACCAACCTGCTCTAAATGGAAACAAGTACCTCCACAACACCATTTTTTATCCATTTTAAGTAACGAGTTTCTATCTATATTTAAATATGAAAAAAAAATTAGCCAAGAAAACGAAGACTGAAACCACTGCAGTGGCTTCTAGAGCTTCGCTGTTCAATATGGTAGCCACTAAGCCACATGCAGACTGAGCACTTGAAATATGGTTGGAGTAACTCAGGGGCTAAATTTTTCATTTAATTTAATTTTATTGAATTTCAATTGCAATTTAAAAACTGATACTCAACCCAGTTGCTGAAAAACTTTTAAGTATGTTTGGAACAACTTGGATGTGCAAATATACTTTTTCAATGTTAATTTAGGAAATCTAAATCAGGTATTTCCAATGAAAATCCAGTGTCTGAATTGAGAGGTGCTAAGTGGAAAATACCCACCAGATGTCAAAGATTTAGTATGGAAAAATAAATGTAAATATCTCCTTAATAATTTTTATATCCATTACATGTTAAGATGATAGTTTGGATATATTAAGTTAAATAAGATATATTAAAATTATTTTCACCTACTTTTTTAACTTTAACATGGCTACTGAAAAATTTAAAATTACATATTGTATTTCTATTGGACAGTGTTGGTCTGGAGGATAAAGTTAAGATATACAAACCATGGGGTAGAAAGCAGGAAAAGCTCTAGTCTGTTTTGAATGCCAGGGTAGCAGATACTTGGAAGAGAGCAGTGCCCTAGGCTCTGGACAGCTTGGCTCTGGACAATAGCTTAATTATGTCACTATGTCTAGTATCCAGCATAGGAGAGACACGATTCCCACTTGCTGCGCACTTTTGTGCCAGGACTGTGCTAAGGACATATCATGCATTTTCTCACTTCATTTTCATCCTAACTCTCTAAGAAGAGTACAATAGTGCCTATACTGTCCCCATTTTACAGATAGATGAGAAAACTGAGGTTTTGAAAGGAAACAAGTATATTCCCCACAGTTACACAGCTTAGGAGCTGCAGACAGGCTGTGGATTCTACTCCAATACCAAAACCTGTGCTCTTATTCATTACATTACCTTTTGAAGCAGATATTGTTTAAAAATGTGTTCTGAATGAAAGAATCAAGAGAATAATTTTTAGAACAAGTACTATGTATTTTAAAAAGTGGGACCATTTCCAAATGTTGCTGACTAAAATGAGATTTTTTTTTAAAAGGGTTAAATTTTCATAGGAAGGTCAAAATGGAAACTCTATTTCACCTTCATCCCCAATCTCCACAAACATAAAAGGTGTAATTTTCATAAAAAAGGTTCCAGACAGAAGGAGGATTAGCAGGGTGGGGCACTCCTCCAAGTCTTCTCTGTAGTAATTTAGAAAGAAACCTTAGCTGATAAAGCAGCTTAATCTGCTTCTGTGTCCTCTGGGCTCAGAGAATGAGGCTGCAGACCTGGGTGAGGCACGGAGTGTCCTGGGCATGCAAGCAGGAGATCCAGGATATAATCATACGCTGTGGGACCAGGTAGCTTTCCCAGTGGAGGAAGCATCTTAAGCAAAGACAAGAAAAAAGGGAAAGGGGGCTGCAAAGGGACTGGGGTGGGGGTGGGGGACAGAGGAGGCTGGAGGGAAGTCAGGCCCAGTGCACCCAGGTGCTTGAACTTAACCATGAAGACCACTGCGAACCACTGAAGGAGCAGGAATCAGGGAGGAAGGTGATTAGATCTGTGTTTTTTTTAAGTGCCTTCGGGCAGCATTATAGGAGAGGACAGACTGGGGATGGGGAAAACAGCTGTGAAGCTATTTCAGTCATCAAAGAGAGAACAGGTGAGGGCCTTCATTAAGGTATTAGTAACTGAAATGTAGGGACAGAGGCAGACGTGGAGATTTTGTGGAGCAAGAATAACAGGTCATAATGGTTGCTTGGATATGGGGAGGATGGTGGAGACAGAGACGCCATGGCCCAGATTCTCCCATAAAGGACAGAGTGAGCCTCCAGCTGCCAGTCCTGCAGGGCCTGCCCCAGCTGCAGAGGCCACCTTGCCAAGGCCACACCCTTCCCAGGGCAGCCTTCACCTGGTGACTCAGCAAAGTGGGGGCAAAGGGTTCTGATGGGCACCACTCAGTCCAGAGCACTCTGCTGGGTTGGCCAAGGTGTTGCAGGACAGCATCACAGTTCAACTTCTCCTCCACCGAGTCCTACTTCCTCCTCCTTCCTTTTATGCATGAAACAAGCATCTTGTACCCTCAAATCTGTCTCAGCCGCTGCTTCCAGAAAACCTAACCTAGGGCAGTGAGCCAGCCTTCTCCTCAATCCAGTGGTCTAGGAATGAAAATGAATATACACGAAGATAAACATCCCATCTTTCAGTTGGAACCACAGTCTTCAAGAATAGTCTATGTGGGCCCCAAGCAGGAAGGAGCTTTGTTTATCTAGAGATCAAAAGGAAACAGCTTGGCATAAGAGAGGATGGTAGAAATAGGTGAGAACTCCTGAGAAATCACCCCTTCAATATCACACTTTATGTTTATGAGCCAGAGGTGCACTGAGGGGACCAGAGCTGGCAGAGGCAAGCATTAGTGTCCCTTGACAACTTTTCCTGACATAATCCTTGTTTGGCTTTTCTTTCACCAAAAAGTCGTATTATTCACAGCATTGCTTTTCTCAGATTCACTCAATACTGCCTGAGCATCTGCAGTTTCTTCTAGACTTCATTCAGCCACCCATTCACGTGTTCTAACAAACATCTCAGTGACAGTGGCACTAATGATGGCCCACTTGGATTTTCATCTGCCACGGGCCAAGGTCTAGGTACGGGGGTATATGTGAAAGAGGCACCTCTGACCTCGAAAGGCTCACACCGTGGTCTGGGACAGAGATGATGGAAAACCCTCCAAGACCCCTTAGGACCCTGTAGAAGATGCTAGAAAGATGAAATGTGGGTGGTATTCCCAGAGAACTGAAGTTGGCCAGGAGACTGAATGGAATCTTCAAGGTGAAGATGACAGTTGAGTCTGGTGAGCAACGACAATGGGGAATTGCTGGTGCTAGTGCTTGCACACTCAGGGGAAATGGATGACAGCAGATGCAAAAGTAGGGTCACCATAAGGACCCCTGAGGAGCATGGTATGGTTGGGGCGTTCAGTATGTTAGCAAAAAGTGCACCAGGGAGGAGCTGATTGGACCAGAGAGGCAGCCGGGGACCTCAGGCATGGCCAGGCAATGAGGACCTGCCCATGGCAGCACAGCTGTAAGTGCTCAGATTGGTTTTTAAGAAGATAAACCTGCAGTGTGAAGAAAGGATAGAATGGGAAATAGTTTTCATCTTTAAAACAATCAAGCCAACTGAAAAATGCAGGTTGCAAAACATTATGTAAAGTATGCTTTTGTTTTTGTTTTTTAAGAACAACAAAGAAGGTAGATGGATGAATTATAAAAATGCATTCCTAGGGGCTCAAAAAATACAGAAAATAGGTTTTCTCTGGGTAGAGAAATTATGGGTGATTTTTTTGGTTTTCAGTAACCTATAATTTCTAATTGTTCTATTTTGAACATGTATTTCTTGTGTAATATTTTTAAAGGTGTTTCCCCCTTAAATCAGGCCCGAGTAAGTTAGGGTACCTCTATTCAGCAGAACCCCACACAGTCATTAAAATGCATGAGGCTGAATTAAGGTATGGGTTTGGAATGAAGTCCAGTATAAATTATGGGAAAATGAAAAGATACAGAATAGTATTCAGAGTATGATCACATGTGTGATTTTTTTAAAGGATACAAAAAGGAAGCACATAAACCTATAGAAAAATCCTAGAGAAAATCCACAGAATTTTGTTACAGCAGGGATTGTGATCCAGTGCAGGATACCCTTCTCTATTGCTTGTGC